GTGGCTGGCGCCGGGGTCCTTGCCTGGCCCCAGCCCGGCCCTCAGGGCTCTGAGCAAGGAGCCCACAGCTCGCACTGTCTCTCTCCCCCCGTCTTTGCAGGAGCCACGCCTCATGTGCTTTCTGTGGGGTGAGCAAGAACCACAATAAAACATAATGTCAGCGGTGGCGTCCAGAATGACTGCAAGGCCAATTCCCAGCTGGCAAGAGGGACAGTTGAGTTCCGAGCCCGCTGGCTCCTGCTTGGTCGAGTCAGCCAGGAGCACCTGGCGGCAGCTGGTCTCCCTGCAGTGGAGGGTGCGGGGCAAGGGCAGGAGGCAGTCGTGTCAAGGTGCCTGGACTGAGCCAGAAATCACAGCTGCCTAGTCCACTCCTGCCATTTACCAGCTGTGTGACTTTGGACAAATGACTCCACCTCTCTGAGCCCCACCACACTGAGCTGCACAAATGTATCGGGTCGTTCTGAAGATTGCATACAAAGCTACCGATGAAATAGTCCTCAACATGGATGTGGCAAAACTAAAATTTCTCTGGAAGATTTTGAAATCAGTAACATTTCATTCTGAATGTGGAAGGAAAAAAGGTCACGAAAATATTAAGGATGAGGCCGGGCGCCAGTGGCTCACGCCTGTAATCCGAGCACTCTGGGAGCCCGAGGAGGGCAGATTGCTTGAGGTCAGGAGTTCGAAACCAGCCCGAGCAAGAGCAAGACCCCGTCTCTAGTATAAATAGAAAGAAATTAATTGGCCAACTAATATATAGAGAAAAAATTAGCCGGGCATAGTGGCGCATGTCTGTAGTCCCAGGCTGAGGCAGGAGGATCACTTGAGCCCAGGAGTTTGAGGTTGCTGTGAGCTAGGCTGACGCCACGGCACTCTAGCCTGGGCAACAAAGGGAGACTCTGTCTCAAAATAAAATAAGATAAAATAAAGAGAATATATTAATGATGATATTGTGTCAGATAACCCTTTTAGGGCTTTTATTTTTAAAACTTTTTTATATTAAAATTCAGTTCTATGGTTTAAAGGTTCATGTCTATTACAAAATTCTGGAAATTTTCTGCATAACCTGCCCCTCTGCTTCATAGGCTCATATTCTAGAGACCTCAATCTAGAAACTGAATTTATTAACTCACTTGCCCACACACACACACACACACACACACACACACACACACACATACATACACATACATACATACACACATACACACACACACATTGCATATATATTTAGGCAAATGACATCATAATGAATTTTGTAGATATTTTCTGTCACTGTCTGAAAAATTCCATATTACGTAATGAAGGGAGTGAAGGAGAAGAGGGATGCCAGCATGTCTCCAGGCTGTGGCGAACACTCTGGGAAAGTGAGGACTAGCTAACAGGCTGTCTAACACATGCCATCCCTAGAATCAATGTGTGTGATGCAAACATTACGTACATGCTGGCAGTCTGATCGCTGAATGACTTTCTAAAGCAATAGTGGCACTCAAGCAACAGAAGCCCCTCGTAGTTATAATCTATTTGCCGGCGGCCACTCCGTGCCCGGCACCGCGCTGATGCTAATCTGCATAGTCACCCCCATGGGGGATTGTCATCCCATCCTGCTGCAGGTGGGCGAGGGAATCTGCAGCCCTTCCGCCGAACTCCTCTGGCGCCCTTCTGCCCCTCTGCACATCCTGCCCACCCTTTCCCAGTGGTCGCCACGCAACCTGCTGCCTCTCGCAGTTATCACCGAAGGGACCTCCTTCAGCGCCCTCCCCCTCCCCTCCCCGCTTCTCTGACCTGCTGCGTAGAAACTCTGCAAGAACCAGCCTGGCGCCACATCCACCTACCATGGAAGGGACATAGGGATATAGGGATATCCGTGGGATGGCCCCTGGCCAGCAGGGTGTCACATCCGTGGATAAATGCTCCCCTCTTCTTTTGCACTCTACACGCCCCTCTGAAGGACTCGGTGAGATTGAACCTCTACTGCCCACTGTGGCGACAACTTGAGAAGCACCCCCTGCAGTCTTGTTGGCTTTCCTTCCTTCCCTGTCTCCCTCTCCCCAGTTCTCCTCCCGAGGGCCACGGCCCATATAAGCCACCTCTCACAAGCCCTCGTCCCGGCCTCTCTTCCATGGCGGGGACCAATCCAAAGCAAGGGCTAAATAAAGGAGAAAGTGGGGCTTCCCTTGTGACAGTAATAACCAACTCTAACTTAGCCTTTGGTGAATTTGATCTATAGGCGGGATAAGGAAAAGCCTTCCCTTCGTCCATCAGCCCCACTAAACCTCTCCCAGCCCTCTACTCCTCAGTTCCTGCCACTCCTGCATAAAAGCACACCTGCATTTACATTCCAGGTTCCCAGAATATTCCTTATCCCCGAATCTAGGACCTTGAAGCATATCTTTTGTTCTAAGCATTTTTCCTTTTTTTTTTTGGCACAGAATAAGGAGCAATGTCCCAAGCATTTCTGTACCTTTCTGCCTTTTATCTTTAGGGTCTACACACTAAAAGTCAGTTGGGGGTCCAAAGGTTACTGAACCTCAAGGGGAGAGACCAGAATTCTAGTCCTGGTTTTGCCACTCATGGACTAGGTGGCCATGGACTAGCTGAATAATTTCTCTGGGCCTCAGTTTCCACATCTGCAAATATGAGCCAGTGGCACCAGATGCTTGTTGGGTTCCTTTTTGGTCCTACATTCTTGTACTAATGTAATTTCCTGCTCATGAAAATGATCCACTACTAGAAAACAACTTCCAAGTTTGGAGTTCATTATAATGAGATATTGCCCTTCTTTCAAAAGTAGAATAGCTGGAAAGGAGAAAAAGAAACATAAAATTAGAGAAGACATCTAATAAATTCCCAAAGACTTACTGTATGACCACAAGGCAATAAAAAGGAAAAAAATAGTTGTCTCTATTTTCACACACACACACACACACACACACACACACACACACACACACGGGTTTTTGTTGAGAATGTGATTTCATTCAGTCAACAGTCTGGAATAGGTAACTATTCTAATCATAGCATTTCTGCTACTGATGATTCTTCCATTTGTCTGCGCGGATTCGGGTTCCAATCCCAGGCTCTACCATTGCCCCCTGTGCAGCCTGGGCCCCCAAGCATCTTAGGATTTCACTTTCCTTAGCTGCAAAATTCCGAATTGGATCTCTTCCAATTCTAACAAGCCAGGATTAAAACAAATCCCTCACATCTAATAGTTACTTCATTTGAATCCCATAAAAATTATTATTCACATCCAGAATTTTCTTTGTCAAATTATGGACAAGAAACTAAGGGGCAGAGGGTTCAATAACTTGCCCAAGGTCATACCCGGGCATTAGCTCTTAGGTTGTCCAGCCTCATATCTATGTAGATTTGCCTTTCATGCAGAAAGTCTTTTTAAAGAAAATATGTTCCCATAATTTTATTTTATTTTAATTTTTTGGAGACAGAGTCTTATTCTATCACCCTGGGTCATCACAGCTCAATACAACCTCAAACTCCTGGGCTCCAGTGATCCTCCTGCCTCAGCCTCCCGAGTAGCCAGGACTGGCTGGAACTACAGGCGTGCACCACGACGCCCAGCTAATTTTTCTATCTTTAGTAGAGACGGGGTCTGGCTCTTGCTCAGGCTGGTCTTGAACTCCTCACCTCAAGCGATCCTCCCACCTCGGCCTCCCAGAGTGCTAGGATTAAAGGCATGAGCCACTGCACCTGGCCCCCATAGTTTTATTTTAAAGATTTTCAAACCTATAGAAAAATTTAAAGAATAGTACAGTATATTCCACATATACTGTTCACTTAGATCATTCACCAATTGTTTAATATTTTGACACATGTGTTTTACTTTTCTTTTTCTCACTCTATATTTTTACAATCTTTGCTCAACCATTTGAGAGCCCATTGCAGACATCCTGCTGCCTCACCCCCCAGTCCTTGAGCATCTCCTTAGAACAAGGGCATTCTCCTTGGTAACCACAATACCGTCAGCTCACCCAAGAAGCTGAACATGAATATAATAACATAATCCAATGAGCAGTCTATATTCAAATGTCCTCAATTATCCCAAACCTGTCCCCATAATTTTTCTCCCTTGGGTGAAGGTGTCAATCAAGGATCACGCACCCTGTTTGGCTAACACGTCTGTGTTAGTCTAGAAAAAGCCCTTTCTCCACCTCTTTTTTCTTTCTGTCTTGACATTGACATCTTTGATTGTTCCACACCTGGATTTGCTTGCTTGTTTCCTCATAATTAGAAAACTTATTCAACAGCGAATATTTGGGAGCACATTTTCACAAAAAGTGACACAAAAATGGTGTTCTCAGGTAATGAGAAGCGTGCCTTCTTCCCCTACCCCCCCCCCACACACACACACAAACACACGGGCTCGCCTTCAAGCAAGCAGGCAGGTAACAGGAAGAACAGAAAAGCATCTCAGAAAAAGTCTGGTGACTTAAAAGCAGAGGTTCTCATATTGGACAAAAAGTACAAAAACTTCAAAACAACAAATCGAGGGAACTGACAAAGATTTGGTCACCTCTTTATTTTGCCAAGGAAGGACATTAAAAAAAAAAACAAAACCACTTATTATCATAAATATATTGTCGTTTCATAAATAGAGGCCACTTAATACCAAAAGGTAAAACAGTCTCTGAGCAAAGATTCAAAAAAGGATAGTTTTTTCAAAAGGACAGTTGGTCACTTTCCACTGATCACATACATACACGTCTCGCCTGATCCTCATACGTCTCCTTGGGCCATGGACTGTGCAACTCTGTCACGGACAGGCACAAGAACTCAGAATCACTAACCTGAACAAAGCTACCTGGAGCTAGGTTGCTAGTAATAAATACTTGAAGGCGATTGCTCTATGCGCCTTCATTCTTCTGTCTCGTGCCAGGTGAGCCGTCTCTGGGAGAAAGGAGAGGGCAGGCGGGGAGGTCGAGGGCACCATGAACCACGTTTCCTGCTGAGCTCAGAGCCCCTCCGCTTCTCATTCTTACCTTCCCTGGAGCCTGGTGGCACGTCCTGAGTGATGTCTCGGGCCTGGGGACACTGGCCCCTTCTCAGCCTTGCTACCTCCTGGCTGCTGCTCTCCAACCTCCTGGCCAGATCCTCATTCTCTTGCCTCAGTTGCTTCTTCTCTTCCTCCAGAACAGACTTGTCTCGGAGGAGGTTGCTGTAGGCAGTCTCCAGCTCCCTGGTTTGGGTTTCCAGCTGGTCTCGCTCCCTCCTCAGGGTGCTCACCTCCTGCAGCCCCTCGTGGGGGTCCCGGGGCCCAGCGGCCTGGCCCAGGGTAAGGAGGTGGAGGCGGCTCTCCAGGGAGCTGATCCGAGCCTTGGCGGACTCCAGGTCTGCGCGCTGGCTGCTGCTGTCTCTCTGCAGGTCGTGAATGGCTGACATGGCCTGGCCCTGCTCGGGGCAGCTGGCTTCACTGGGGCTGGCCACAGTGAAGGTGTACTGGCACCGGCCACCCCGGTCGTTGGCCTTCCGGAGCTGCGCTGTCCTCGCTCCCACGCCCCATACCAGGCAGGCCAGGAGCAGCAGCCGGACAGCTGGCATCTCGGCCCGAAGCTGCAGCAGCGTGCACGGAAGAACCTCAGTGCAGAGGCTGGGCGAGGCTCCCTCTGCAGAGCTCGGCTGCGCTGCTGCGAGGTGTCTGGATGGGTGGCCCTGCTGGCTCCAGAGAGGTTTATATGTACTGGGGAGCCAGCCCTGCGTAGGGGGAGAAAGAGGTGGCCACGTGAGGCTGGGTGGGGTGGGGCTGTGCACAGGGGGGTTGCCTTCACACTGCCAGCAAGAGTCTTAGAAAATAACCTTCCAGAAGTCTGTTTGGAATTTCTTTTAAAAAGAATGTCCCACTTTGTGCACCCCACACCCCAGTGATCACCCCAATGCCCCCACCCGGTTTTGCACACATGCACTCACAGGTGCCTGCCTCATCCAGCAGGACTATCTGTGCGCTGATTTCAACAAGGATATATCTCTAATGTATGCTTCCACGCACTCTGCAGGCTTCACTGAGAGCCTGCTCTGTGCCAGCCACTGCGCTGGGAACTGGGGATAGACACGTCGAAGACACAGTTCTGTCCCTGTACCAGGGACAGAGACAAATAACAGCCAGCCACCCCACCACGCTTCAGGGAGCAGCACTCCTATAGAAGCAGTTGGAAGCAGGATTCTCCCCTCACCCTTGGCTTTCAGGTAAATGCGGGCAGGTCTCCGAGAGAACTTTCTCATTTCAGTCTCGCATCTTAGGGACCAAGGTCAGTGTTAGCCCCTAGGCCAGTCCTTGCTCTGTGCACGCGCCGCGCACCTCGCCGGCGAAACCTACAGAGCCCTTCTCAGAGAGGTGTTTCCAACTGGATATAAAGTTCATAAGATTACAGAGGAAACACATGACATTGAAATTATTAAAACATTAAAAAATGTGAAATAAACATGTACTGCTTTATTAACACATTAAAAACAAGATCTAACGGGGGTCTAATTTCATAGTAGTTTTTAGTGTAAATATTTCATGATATCTGCAACAAATATAAGGTATTATAAAACGTCTGTTATTTCCCTTGGTAGGGACAAAAATTACAGGTATTTTTAGCACCACTTTGAGTTTATGGCTTATAGCCATAATGGGGAATGAAATGTAAAATTCAGTTAGAAGGTGGTGAAAATAAAAATGTTATTCTTTCCCATCCAGATTCACAGGCTTTCTGGACCACAGATTAATAACCCCTGCTTTACATTAATAAACCCAAAGAGAAGAAAACAAATAGCAAAAATACCAAGAACTGTATGAGTTCGTGCAAATCAAAATGCCAGTGATGGCCTCATCAGTAAAATAATATTTGCATTTGAGCAACTATATGTTGTCCATACCAATAACATCTTCCATACTTGTGAAGTGAATATTTTAGATATGCTCTGGCAGACTCACTTCCAGAATGGAAAAGCATGATTTGCTTTAAAGATTCTCTTCTTATTTGATTGGTTCTAAAGTTAAGCCTGAACTTGAGACACTTACAAACAGGTGTCTCTGTACAGCTGACTGAAGGGTACTATTCTCAGTTTCTGCATGGCCTTTGGGGTGAGTTCAAGTGTAGTACCTGAATCAGATAGCAAACATCACTGAAATGATTATTTAAAAAATATACCATAAAGTCAACAAGAACCAAGTCAGAATCTGTCCGGCTTTACTCGTAGGAATGTTTTCTTTCTGTTAAAAGGGCTGAGATCATCCTGCGCTGCTAATTCCATGGAGGAAAAGAATTTCCCGTAAGGGTAAAAAGAAACGTAAGTAATTTTACTGCCTCCAGCTGTGACTTGCGACTTGCTCAGGGGTACTCTGCTTGTAAAGGAAGAACAGAGCGCTAGAAATCGGGTCTCCTGACTCCTTTTGAATTGATTTTCTTTCCACAATACAGTCCTGCCCCCTGGAACCCAGAATCACGCAATCTAGAATTGCTGTGGTCTTTCCAGTCAGTCCCCGCCGCCCTGTAACTAATCTTTGTCCTTTCCGCTCATATGCTATCCCTCTGTTTTTCTTCATGTCCCCTGAGCTCACTCTGTGGCATCCACCAGCAGTCACTGTTGAGCTATGTGGGTGTGGTCAGGGTGAGAAGGTTAACAATCCCTGGCATTTTGCACTTGCTCCAGCCCAGCTTTCAAATGCCAGGCAAAAGCCACCACCGCCGGCCATTCTTTACGTGCCTCACAGTTCCTGGCAAAGGCCATTGTACGTGCTTGGTGGGAGCAAGTTTTGTAGCTGTTCGGTTCCTTGAGTTTCCTCAGTCCTTGTGGCTCGAGATCATTTCCCCAAACCCGGGGTCTGCCGTGGTGGGCTGGGACTGCCGGGGCTCGGGTTCTGCCTGGCACGGCTGCCCTGTCCCCACCCCACGGCCGCTCAGGGGCTCCAGCTCTGCTCCTGCCCACTCCCAGCACCTCCCGCTCAAACGCCACCACAGGGAAGTGTGCACAGGACACTAGAGACACAAGGGCTCCTACAGATGAGAAAACGACAGCCCAGGGAAGGAGAGGGACTTGCCCAGGGCCACACAGCCAAGGCGTGCTGAACCAGAAAGAAAAGCCGGTCTCCTGATTCCGAGGTTTCTCACCTTCCTGCAAAAGCCAAGTCCACCAAAGTGGCCAGAAGACATAAAAGACTCCAGTCACTTCTTCCATGCATCAACGCTCCAGGAAATGAGCTCGCTTCCTATATGCCCATTAAATAAAGGCTTTTCAGAGAAGGAAAACTCATGTGCACCCTGGAGTTTTGAGCAGCCAACTTTATGCGACTGCGTCCTTTCATGCAATGCACTTACTGTCCTCAGAGCAGAGGGAAGGGCTCACAGGAAGCAACGGGAACCCAGCCCCGGACAGCGCGGAGCGGCCCGCCGGCCCCACCTGCCCTTCTCACCTTCCTGCTCAGCGCCCGCGGCCCCGCTCCCTGCGGCCCCACTCCTGCAGTGCTCCTGGCCGCGGACACCCCTTTCCCTCCCAGGAAACCCTGTCCGCTCCAGAGGCTCCGTTCGACTGGGCTCCATCTCCATTTCCTCTCTGGAGCCTGGAGCCAGGGAGGCGCCGGCTCGGGCGCGCCAGGCCAGCTGCAGGGCTTGGTGCTGCCGGCACAGGCTCGGGCACAGTGCGGACAGCAGGGGGCGCCAGTGAGGCGGGACTCTTAGGGGGCGTCCTGCACAATCATTCCCGCTTGTGTTTATTTCCCTTCTTTTAGCACTGTGCTTAGCCAAAGCAAGTCTTCCGTGAGACTGTGACTGCTTTGCTCACCATTCTGTCCCCAGACTCTGACAGATATAGGTGCCCCATTAGATTTTCAATGGATGCATGGATGGATGGATGGATCACACAGAAATAGAGAACAAAAGTGCCCTAAGAAATGAAAACAAAGCACCCAGTGTGGCACCAGCTTGTAGGCTGCTGGGGACACTCTGGTCACCTCCCTGGTACTTGTCTGCTGGGCTGTCCCAGCTGGAGAGGAAACCTGGGGCAGGCTTGGGGGGGAGGGGTGATTCAAGGGATTTGTTTTGGAGGCACGCCCTTCCCCACTGAACACACACAGCCCCAAATGAAATTACTTTATGTGTACCTTTATTTCACTAAGGATGAGGAGGCTTGTGTAAAAACATGGTGAATAAAATGTTACTTGGTAGCATGAAAGTGAGGACAAGGGAAGGGACAGATGAGGACAAGCAGTCCTGCACTGGGCGGCTCCGGGCATCATCCCCTGGGATTCTGAGAGCCTTTGTCTGAGTCCCTGCTGGTTTAGTAAATCTTTCAGATTCTGCGCGACGAAGCGCCACCCGTGTGCCTGGGCTGTGCAGCACACGTGTGTGTGCAAGATACGGCCCCTCCCCCACCCTGCCCCAGGGACTTCCAGCGGGGACCTTGTGTGAGGAGATTCAGTGACCCAAGTGCTAGAGAATCTAGAGGAGAGGCGGGCTTTGCAGAGCAGTTGGCGTTTGTGAAGGACAGAGTGACAGTGGCCGAGGCGCTTGGTTGTGGAATTGGCTACAGGCCGCACACGTCGGGTCTGTGTACGGGGCCACAGAACACCCGACTGGAAAAGTCGGGGCGGGGAGGACAGCGATTTCTAATGATTTCCAACCCATCTGGAGCTGGGACACAGTATCCCTGTAGGCCTGTCTTTACAAAATTGTGACCCATGTCTAAATTGATTATGTATCACGTGTTTCTTTTATACTTAAAATGGTTAATTATCTTTCGAGAGTTGTTACAGATTCCTTAGGAAAACTGGACTTACCAAAAGCAAATGCCTTAGGGTTCCTGTGAACGGGCCCTGCTGATTCGAATAAAAGGTCTGGTTGCCTTTTAACTCTGTCTTCTGTTTTACTCTCTGTTCTTTCATCTTTCCCATAAAATACCAGACTTAGGGCAATCGTTGTTGTCCGGATACAGGCAGGGAGATGTTAGGAACATGCTCAACCACCTAATCGCCCTTTTGTTGGAGCTTTCCCAGGCCCCATTTGCGTCCTGCATTTGGGGAATGTGGGTTTTGCTGTCATTTTTATGTCCTTTACTAGCCTGACCTTCCTGCACTTGCCTCCCCACAGTGATGCCATCTGGTTTTTAAAATAACGATCCACTTTGGGATCTGATCAGATCGTGCTTTTTATGTTTTCCTCATCTTTCCTGCAAGTTCACATGGAAGTCCCTCCGAGGGAACTTAGGAACTTAATTTGGAAACCCCATTTCCTGAGCTGTTTTCCTTCTTCACTGAGCTTTGGTTCTCATCATTTTTTTCCCCTAAAAATGAAAAGCAAAGGGAAAGTTCATTTTTCATCATTATTTGCTGTCCTGGCATTTTTCCTTGGACAAGTGCCCATCTCGTTTCTGTTTCTTAGCTCCTCCTCGATGGATGTGCCGTATGTGATCTCAGTTTCCTGGAGCGTAGCTTCTGTCAGGGGCGACATCAGCCCCTACGGCAAGAGCAGACGCGGCCTGGACACTTCTCCAGCGCTGATACTCTTGAGTACTGGTTCTTTGTCAGCCTCCCAAAGACACATCTGACAGGGCTAAAGAGTTTACAGGGCACTTTCACATCTCCAATCTCATTTAATTTTCACATAGCCATGAGGTGAACTGGGCAAAGATCATAATTCCCCCTTTACAGATGAATAAACCGGATCACAGTGACTAACCGATTTATCGCAGGCCACATAGCTAGCGAATATCGCTATGTGTATATATATGAAAATTTGGTGTCAAGCTGAGCTACAGAGAGACCGACCAGCCAGACAAAGAGTTTATTCGGGAATAGCAAGGGGTGGCGATTCTAGATGTGCATGCCATGGTGGAGCACAGGAGCAGCCGGGGGGGTTGGGGCAAGGGGAAACTTCTAAAGCAAAAAGAAGTGCATGCAAGCAGTTTTGAAACAAAGACCATTGGTTAAGGGACTTACCGCAGGTGGTGGCATTTGTTCGTTGGCGGTGTTGGTAGAAAAGGATCTTCATAGAAGTGGCGTAACTGGAAAATTCGTTTGGGAAAGTGCTTTGTGGCAGTTCCAGTTCCGGGCATGTGTGTGTGAGGCCTCTTCCTTCTCGGCATCCTGGCTCTGCTTTGCTAGGGTTTGATGTAGGTGACTCCGTGTTGGTGCTGACGGCCTTTACCACGTGCAGATACAGTGAAACGCACACATGCGTACACGTCGCTGTGGCGAAGCTGCATGCAGCCTCCTGACGCCAGCGGATTTCCAAACTTTATGCCGCTGCAGGAAAGCCCTCAAGGATGAACTCTTTGAAAGGCTCTTCAGATGTTCCTCTTCCACCCACTCTATTGACGAGCAAGTTGAGGACTGGATTGACGCGAACATCTGTGGATGTCAGCTTTGGGCTGGCGCCGTGGAGTGGGACTGTGGGTCCACACCGTGCCGGAGCAGAGGGGACACGGGGCAGCTTCAGGAAGCCCGGCGACAGTGCTGGTGGAGCGTGGGACCAAGCCCGGGGGATTTCGAGGACTCATCCTGAGTGTATGTGGGGGCTGCAGGCTCAAATCTTCCTTAGGTAGAGCGCAGAAATTCTCTCTTCGTTTCAAGGTACAGATTCGCATTCACGTTCGGTCAAGGAAACAGTGGTGTGTGGGTGTCGGGGGCAGCACAGTGAGTATTCCCCTTGCTGAAGCTGGAACTGGGCTTTTCGAGACAGGGCAAGTCCACTGTTGTCCCTGCCTCTCGGGAGCTGCAAAGTCTCACTGGTGGCAGCTCTGCTCCTGTGTCAATGCCATTCTCCACCTTGCCAATAGCCACCTACTGCAGTCTGGCCCCTTAAAGCCACCCCAGCAGCCTCCCGGCCTTTCAGCTCATCTCCTCTGCTTCCTGACTCAGTCTCCGTGTCCCCCAAACTCCTCGAGGGAGATCTGATCGGCTGGGCGCCTCCTCTCAAGGGACCACACCAGGTGGAGGTTGTCTAGGAGGCGACGGAAGCTCCGTCCTGGGACAGATGCTCCACCTTGATCCATGACATGTGGATCACGCGGAGCGGGACGCAGGTGGTCTGGAATAGAGAGGCCCCTGGGCAGAGAAGACTGCCTTAGGAAGAGAGGTGGCTCGGTGAGAGGTTACCAGCAACTCTGGCTCAGCGCCCGAAAGTAGTCTCTTCCTTGCCATGTTTAGGCAACGTGCTTCTTGCCATGGAGGGAAAAGCGCGGGACTTGCATCCAATAAGGATTCTTGGGCCCTCTGTTCCTGGCACTCCCAGGCATATGACAGGTATTGTTTCGAAGGCTGTTGGTAAAGGTTGTGGGTGAGAAGCAGAAAGGGGAAGATAGAGACAACGTCCTGATGACCTTGGGTGCCCGTCTCACCCACACATAGGAAAACGAGAAAAACAGCAACAGCACAGGTAAAATAGACTTTTACCTTTTTTTTTTTTTTTTCTGGGACTCTGCTTTCCATTTGCAGTTTTGTATGGAAAAATGCTTCGAATGGCTTGCATCAAAGAGGAAAAACATACTTCGTAAACGCACTTAAAGACGATATTGGTGGAGGGGGCAAGGGGAGAAAAGATGAACCATCATTCAGGCTGGGCAGGTGTCAGAGCCTGGCCCCAGAGTCCGAGTGTGAATGAGCATTTCCTAGATCGATACATGTAAAAAGCCCAATAGTTATTCAAGTGGGGATCTGTAAAATATTTTGATGTTTACAATAGCTTTTCATGCATTAAAAATTTATAAATTACTGATCAAACACAATCGACCTGCTGTTTTGGGTACGGAATCAAGACCGTTCCTCCTCTATTGGTGATTAAATGGCCAGCACTCAGGGGAGCCCCATACCACAAGAGCAGGGCATGGGAAGACACGCCTAGACCAGAGCTGTGTACTGGGTCTCGGTGTGTGAAATCACAAGAGCAAAACCTTTTGGTTTTGAGATAAAATGTTGGTCCCGCTCTTTAGATAGTCCCTTGTACCTAAACATATTTTTACAAACCAGTTTTACCAACTCATTTTAATTTTGAAACATCTGACCACACGAGAGGTGAGTACCATTAACCCTATTTTAAAAGGAGGAAACTATGGAAATTAAGGGAATTTAATTCAAGGGTTAAAACAGAGTCTCTACTGCCCCATGGCATCCCCTGGTCCCTCCCATGTCACTGCTCACCTCTCTTCCACCTTATCAAAATGATATAAAAAATTTTAGCTCTCATCTAAATTAAGTTTACACTGATTTTTCCTAGGAGATAATTAATATAAACTTTAGTTCCAGAATAACTTCTGTGAAAAATGTACAGAAAAGCAGAACATTTTCCATAGACTGTGACAAAAGTTTGTTAAAATATTCTCTTTTTATTGTTCTCACACTGATTGGGAGATTAATAATCAGAGCCAAATTAAGTGATTATTAAATAACTTAAACCTTTATTCATTTCTTCCAATCTTACTTTTTACTTATTCCATATATTTCTGCCCTTTCGAGAGTCAGTATATTAAGGAGAAAGAGGATGGGATCTAGACATCT